CTTAGTTACACCATTGCTGTGGAGAAATTTACCCCAGATTTTACTCTGTAGTAAGGAGTCAGCACCTTGCCAGATCTCCCCTGGCTGGCTGGATGCAGTAGATATTATGGCTTCTTGCCACTAAGTGGAGACAAATGCAGTTCTTGGCCAGCTGGTGGAGGGAGAGCTGCATTGTTTTGAACAACACCTTTGCTCTGGAATAAAATTTACCTAGGACTAAAATTAACTAATGGAGTGGACACACAAATGGTATAATTTACATCCATGTATAGTTAGACCTCATTTTCCAAAGGGTAACTCTGTTCTGGAGGGGATTGACTGATACGAGTGTAAGATTGTATGCTATAAGTCCAACTCACTTTTATCCCAGATTAAAGTTATATAGCTTTGGAGTAGACATGCTGTGTGTCTACACAGTATGATTTCTGTTTGTTTGTTTGACTAGTTGGTATGTCACTGTAGAAGATAATCACAACCTAACACTGAAAAGAATAGAGAACGGCTTAGACTCTGTGCCATGGCCAGATGACCTTCTGTGGCCATTGTCTCCTGGGTAAGAGGAGGACCTCTTTATAAAAAGTTAGGCCTTAAAACACCAATTTGCAAGCTGGAGTTCACAGTCCCAAATGGATGTTGTGGCACTTAGCAAATAGGGTGGCTGATTGGGTGCCACAGCAAAGGATTGGCAGCCATTGGGTTAAAGTCTGTATTAGCATGTTGAACATGACCTTATCCTTTAGGGCTGGATCCTGCCACACATGTATAGCATGTGAGCAGTCTGTTGTTCCAGCACCACCCTACACTGAGGTCAACAGGGCTTGATCCAGGCATGGCAGGCTGCCTGCCTACGTACCATAAATTGTAGGATTGGAGCCTTAGATTAGATATCAGCATGCAATTATAATTATATCTCTGTATCACAATGCACCGATGTAATTATATCTTGGTATCACAACACAGTTAAGCTGGTTTTACCCCTCATCTCTTGATTAGAGCTGTGTGAGGGCTGCAGGAAAACATTCCCACGAGTGTTCGTTTGGATTTTTAAATGAGCTTGTTTTGTTGGCATTAGTGCCTCTGTGCATTTTGCTTGCAGGATTGTTCTCCAAGACAGCCAAGGCCATGGAACATTTGCACCTCTTGGATTCCCAAGTGTGAGTGTCTACCTTGAGAACATGCCAAGAGTTGTCTACATGCCAAGTTGCACCTTGCCAGTCCAGGTACACATGACATTTGACCTGGATCCAGTCCAAATAGCACATGATCTGAATAGCAAATAATGAATCTTGATATGTTATAGTTTTAAATTTCCTGCTAATTTACCTGGCTTCTATTGCGTGTAACAGAGGCTATTCAGAGGTTCATAAGAATCTGTGCAAGGGAACATTGGACAGAGATACCTCTCACACCATCCTAAGCTTTGCAAGCTGTGATATGCTTCCTTGCAGTATGTGGTTAATAAAATCAGCCAGTTATTTAAATTTATAACTTGTACCCAATACAGCGATGCCATTTATACCTTGTAAGGATCTGACTTGCTGAGTTCAGAATACTGTCTCAGGGTGGTGTGATGTTTTATGAAGGCATTGAGTAGGAGCACTTCAAAAAAGATATGGTAACTCTGAGGCACAAGCACATTTTATTTTTGATGTAGCTAAACAAGATTAACTCTGTAACTTTCATGTGGACTTGATTTGGTTAGCTGGATGTGAGTATCTCAATGTAAAAACACACCTCTTTTTTTTCCAGTGAAGGCGTGTCCTGAATTTGGGATCAGTGCATTGCTTGTAATGTAGGAAGGCTATCTGACTTATTTGACTTCTCTGGTATATTTCCAGTGTTCTATGTACCTTCCAGAATGTAACATTGAATTCTCCACTACAATAATCTGATTAATCCATTTTCCAGAGGCATCAAAGTAATGGACTCCCTCCAAAAACATAAAAGCGCTCTAACAAATTGTATCCTATAAAGAGTTACTTCATTTATATCCTCCTCCAGTCACTTCCTTATTATCTAAGAACTCCCCCCTTCCCCTCCAAATTCCTTACTATGACCCTGATTCAGGAAGCCCATAAAGCTAAGCCTATAATCCCAGTGAAATCAGTAGTACTGTGTATCTGAAAAAAATTATGCAAGTGCTTTGCTTGACTTGGTTCTACAACTGCCTATGAGACCAGATCCGTTGCAGCCTGCCTGGAAGATAATTAATCCAGTCTCTAGGCACAGCAAGCAGTGAAATGAATTCAAGAGATCCCATCATGCCCTAACAAGCACTCGCATTTGTCTGAATCAGGTGGCCTCAAATTAAGTTCTCCACTGTGGCAGCAGTAGTTTTCTGATCCCCTTGGACAATGAAGTCTCAGACCATTTGGGATTTTGTAGGATAAAACCTCTACTTGGAACTCAACCAGGAAATGGACTGGAAACTGGCCACCTCTCATTACTGGCTGCCTGATTTCCCTGGGCTGACAAGTTCTTACATGAAAAAGGTAACACTTGGTTCTGTTAATATTTCTCTTTTAGGAGGCCACATGCAATCGTACTCCCTGTGAAATCAATGCAAGGGACAGCTAAATTGGTCCACAGCCTGTTCCTTGGGAATCCCTTAATATCCCAGAAGCTATAGCAGATCAGTCCCCATTCTGGTGGTGGAGCTGGGGCCCACTAGTACCCATTGCTCCCCTCCTTCCCTCATCTCTATGATTTGTGTTCATGGCTTTTTCTGGGACAGAGAATCAAAGCACTGTCTCCCCTTGTAGTGGTCATCACTCAACCAGAGACCAAAATGCCTTGTGAAGAATAGATTTCTTTTCCCATCTGCCTCGTATCTGGTCCCTGAGTTCAAAGGCTCTGCAAAGAAAACAGAAGTAGGATTCTGGGCCTGCTAGTGAATGGGAGATTTAATAACTAGTATGTTTCGCTGGTATTTCCTGGTCCTGCTCACCTGAACTGGGTTAGGCTCCCAAGGGTTAATACCCCTGCATGATATGGGCCCTTGTCTACATCCACCTGGTCAGCAAGCACTTTTGCTAAATCCACCCTACTTTCCACCAGCAGTTACATCACCTCTGCCAAGTGAAATACATCTCCTGCTGCCCAGGAGCTAGGAAAAGGTGCGGGTAGACATTTGCAAGGGTCCTGTCAGCAACTGGTACCTTTCTGGGCTGTACTTCATGCTCTGGCAGCACAGCTGCTACAGTGGTGCTGTGAGGAGCTGCCAGAAGCACATAGATGCATCTGTGCTCTGGCAGGTAAGTTCAACTGCTGTCTTGTTGCCACCAGCAAGTACATGTAGACAAGGCCAAATTCTGGTGGCTGCCATTCCAGGCGTACCTGTCTCACTTGAACCTGAGCAGATGTGACTGATGTGGGCTATTCTCTGTCCCTGTCTTAAGAGTAGAAAAACAAAGGGCATGTACTTATTCTAAAACACACACTTGTTTTACTTAAGATTCTGCAGGAAATAATGCTTGAAATTAAATCTTACTTCTTTTCTACCCAACAGGTAGTTTAACTTCACTCTCCTTTATATGAGGAATTTTAAAGTGGGCACTAAACTTGTAGGACTCCTTTCAAGAGTGACTCTCGCTTTGGGGACTCTCTTCTTGTTTTTGAATTGACCAATTATCCATCTGCATCATATGCTCCCTTTTAGCGCTGTTTTGTGAACCTGAATCCCAGGCTGTGCACAGACCAGAACCCAGCCTTTCTCTCTGGCCGCTGCCCACTCCCCCTTTGCTGACAATTGAACACTGCTACAGAATCCAGGCTTTTCAAGGCGCATTTGTTTCTATGGGGCCACGGACAGTGTTCCTGATTAGGCACAGTCTGACATGCCAGAGAAACGTCACAGCTCAAGCACCTGGGACAAATCTGGCAGGGGGGATGGATCTGACAGCACACATTTTTGCAGCTATATTTTGCAGGCACTCTCCCTGTCCACAGCTAGTGCAGAGCAGACTAGAATAACTTCCCCAGCTTAGTTCCCTTTAGCAACATGAGGTGAGTGGTGGAGAGCTTTTAGGAGGGTTTTCTTTTCTTTTCTTTTACCTTTTTTTCTATCTGGGGGGGGAGACATGATCATTATTTTTGCAGGGGAGGGAAGTACTCAAAGTTAGAGAGTTTCCCATGGAGTTGTGAGAGAGCAAAAGAGCTCGGTGCCTTGGAGCAGAAGCACTTCCTTGCTAAATCACTTCTAGTTACTTTGTGTAAAATGCCCCACACTCGTCCCAGGAATCCGAGTCCTATCCCAGAGGTGACCTGGGACTCTGGGTTTAAGGAGATGAATGAGACCTGGAAGGGAGCTATCGCCTGCCTTGGAGTGGCTGTCTTCTTTGTGATGACCATTGGGATTATTTATTGGCAAGTGGTGGACCAGCCGAACAAGAACTGGATCGTGAGAGGGAGCACCAGTGGTCTCATCTGGGAGCGACGGTCCCACTCCCTTATCCTGCAGACCCTGAGTGAGGAGAAGACTGTGGTGGAGATTGATGTGGGCAACTTTCCTGACATGGAGCTGCCTTTTGTGAAGAACTTATGCTGGCTTAACAAAACAGAGTTCTGCTACACCTGGGATGCTACAGCAGACCTGAAGATTTCCTTTGAACCTAGTCTCTCTGTTGGCACGGAGTGCTACAGCATCCACTGGATACCTCTGCACTGCGAAGTTACACTGAAGGTAATGAGGCTCGGGCTTTTTCATACAATAATAAGTCTACTTGTTTCTAATGTATTCCAGCGTTCTCTGGGCTTGATCCTGATGGAAATCTGCATCACTCTGGAGGGGGGGTGGCTGAATGCAGCTGCAACGATTGACACGCTAGCAGAAGCTCCGTATGTTTATTATACAGTTCCCACCCCAGCATCCTAACAATAGCATTAAGCTTGTCCCTGTTGACAGGACAGAGAGAGCGAGACTTTCATGTTTACTTTTTGTGGAGGCACTTGGATGCCATAATGATGGGTGATCTTACACAATTCTAGACAGACAAACAGTCCCAAACATGCAGGGAGCTACAGCATCCCATAAAAATGTACTAGTAGAATGAAATCACATAACCCAAAATATTAAACCACCGTAGTTTCTTTGCCACAAGGCTGCTTTGTTAATGAGATGGCAGGAGAGCCGCTTTAACTTAGAGACTGAATAAATAAATATATGAATTGACAATGGTGGATGGAAACAAGAAGCTAGCAAAGGTAATTCCTAACCACAGGCACAATAGATTTATTCCAATGACTCCTTGCAAGCCATACCTCTATTTGGAGCTAAAAGGGATTTCTTAAAATAAATATTCACTCCGTATTGGCACGAACCCTGAAATTCTTGGCTGTGCCGGACCTCAGAAGTTGCTACACTGGTTGGGCTAAAATTTGGAAGACATCTTTGTGTTGATAAGTGCGTTCATCCCATGATTAAAGAATATTTTGCTTTAACAATATTTATAAAAGGGAAGAAAAGAATTGACTAGCTTATGGTAGCCTAGCAGGAGACTTTCCCGTCTCTTAATACCTCAGGTGTCAGCAGTGAAAGTTGTTAAAATCCTTGTGAATCACTGCCCTGCTAGCTATAAAGATTCCATAAATGGATGGCTTTTTTTTAGTTGTATAGTAAATCTCCATTTAAAATACACATTGATGTGAGGAATCATTCTCAATGCAATTGTTTAGTGCAGTGCACATGCAGACTTTGATTAATTTTGCTTATGTGCCAACCCTGAAAAAAATACATTTCAGATCTATACAGTCAAGGTGATAAGTAGGGCAGGGAGCACAGTTTTCCAAGTAAAAAAGAACTACTGGAAAAATGTGATCTGGGGGAGACTGGAAATGGTGAGAATGGTTCAGTTTTTAAGCAGGCATAAATTATGTGACCCTTTCAAAGTCAAGTGCACTCTCATGATTTACTTCAGCTGGACTTCTGCTTTAACATATTGGGTCTCTACATCAGAAAAACATCTAACTTAAGCACAGGGAAAGATTTGACCTATGTCTGCAGCAGCAATTGCCACTCTGTGGTACCCAGACCAAAAAAGAAATCGTACACTGAAGTTAAACATTTCCAGAGTTCAAAGATTCAGAGCTTTCTCCTGACGTATAGGCTCAGTCACTGAGAGTAACTGAGAGGAAGCAGACCCACAAATAAGCATGTTTTTTATCAGGAGACTAATTATTCTCTTTCTTTTGTAGCAGGAAATTGCTCAGAATAAAACAGGACTCAAATACTCAGAGATGCTCAAAAAAAAATTGTAGGGAATGGGAGCCTGATCCATCAAGGTGCTGAGAGCCCCTACCTCCTGCCGACCTTGCTGGAAGCCCATCCATTACCAGGTTCAGAGCCAGTCATCAGGGAGGGACGGGGAATGCTTTTACAAAATGTGGAACAGATTAAGCAGGGTGAAATGTGAAGGGACTCTGACCTCCAGTGTTGGAGCCAGCACGAGAGGATAAAGAGGAAACTGAAATGAAAGGCTTTCTCAGATAGAGAATCCAGCAAATTAATTGGCTGTGGGTGTCCTTTTAACAAAACAAAGGATGAATTATAATTGTTGTTTCTGGCTGCCTCACTTTTCTGGCTGCACTGAGACTTTGCACCAAATTGTCTCCTTAGGCTAAGGCATTAACACCAGCAAATAAAAATAAAACGCCTTGCAGCTTAAAACCACTGATTGGTGCCCTGGGTGACAGCCGTAAATCCTCCTGCACTCTAACTGCAAACAGCAATAGAAACAGCTTAGCAAAGCATGCGTTCGTATTGTTTTGATTGCATCCTGCAAAGAGCCAGATCCTCCGCTGAGTTGTTCGACATGGCTGCACTGGCCTCAGTCTAGTCGGCACCAGCTAGAGAATCAAGTCCATGTAGAATAAAGTGCCTTGGGCTGGGATTTAGTCACAGTGATCTAATACACTGGGAGCCAACCTTTTTGACAGGTATGCCACAAATTAAGCCTCGTGCCCCTTCCCCTGCCCAACCTGCAGCTCTGCTTTCTGCTTCCTGCCCTGTGCTCTATGCCTGACCTGGTGCTCTGGCTTCTGCTCCATGTGCTGCCTGTGCTCTCCCTGATCTGCCATGTGGCACACAGAAAGGCTGCCATGCCACTTGTACCACACCTGCAGTAGGCTGGTCACCTGTTGTCTAGCAGGTAGTTCCTGTTTTTCACACATTCTCAGTTGTTTCTTTATTGTAGTAGAAACAACCTGAAGCTGCCCATGGGAAACAGCTCATTTTTGTTTCCTCTGCCTCCTCACCTCTGCATATATCAGCCTAAAAGAGGCCTCCCAGAGACACAAACCGGAGGGTCTCCCTCTTTAAAAGTTTGGGGCATGAGTGAGACTAGCTGCTTAATCTTGTACAATCCCAAATCCCCAGTGTTCCTGGAAATGCATCTGGGCTTTCATCAAGGTGTCCAACAAGCTTCATACTCATTTCATAAGAATTAGAAATCATGTGGGAAGTTAAGTCTTGCTGATCCTATTCCTTGGCTGACAGAGAAAGCTTAGAAAGAGCTAAAGCAATAAGACTATTTGAAGTGAAATAACAACAGAATTCATTGTCTTTAAATGAGTTAGGAAACTGGAGGCAAGGGGTTAAAATGTCATGTCAATCTTTGTACTGCCTGGCCCATCTTTGACTGTTTTGTGTCATGGAGTAGCAGTTTGCTTACTTTGTCTGAAAAAAATGTTCTAGGGGGACTTTGTAACTTGTCCTGTCACCAAATTGGACTTTCCAAGCATGTATGTATTTGTCTTGTGTAGAAGTAACACCTTTTATTGTGGTTTGAAGCTTGGGGGTTTATTTGTAGAGAGGAGAAAGTTAATGAGGAAATTCATGAAGATGTAGTATGGATGAATCAGTAGCAGCTCCCCTCAGGATGCATTAAGACGTGTACTTACAGCAGAATCCAAATCTCACATTTTATGCTTTGCTGCCTGCATTCTGTTTCTAGTGACACTTCAGAAGATAATTTATGGAACCGGTTGAAATATTTAGCAGATTTTGCAGCAGAAGCCCTGAAACACTGTCAAACTACTTTCTTCAGGCTTCCCTTGCTAACCTGCCATGGAAGAGAATGTGCTGCTGGAAAAAAAGAAGAAAGAAATTGCAAAATTCAACCCTCTCCTCCACACAGGCTGTGTCTACATGAGACACTTTACTGTGCAGTAAAGCATCACCATCGGCACATGAGGGCACTCACTGCACAGTAAATTAGTTTACTGAGCAGTAAATTTACTACCTGCATATGCAGGTAGTGAATTTACAGTGAGGTAAAGCCAAATAGCATTAATTGCATGTGTAGACATGCCCACAGATATTTATTTTAAAAGAATATTATTGATGTTGCGAAGTCAAGTGCTATAAACTTAGGCACACTCAGATTTTTGATTGCCCATGCAGTCTTTATTCTGGTTCCTTGTGCATCTATCTTACATTCTGAATGAAGCAGGCATTCTCTGGCAAGGAGAAAATCAAATGTGTGATCATATAATCAAGAATTGCACCATAATGCAGGTCTGACTTAAGATGACTTTTGTAACTTTCATTCTGGCATTTCCTAACTTTCATGTGCTTCACTTAGCAACCTAAGAACTTCTCCTTGTGTTCATTTAATTGCTTTTTGTGTGCATTTAATTTTTTTTTTAATTATTTTCATCTAATTGTGGTGTGTGCATTTAACCCACTCTCTGTGGATACATCTACATATGCAGTTGGCAAGTAGCAATAAACCCCAGGGCAGTTTGTGCTAGAGTTTATTTTTCCCAGGTGCAGCGTTTACATGTATGCCTGGGACTGTGGTATGTTGAGCAAGGGCAGAGCAGCCCTGAGCTGGCAAGGAGCCAGGGAGGTGAGGGGGAAGCTGCTCCACCTTAGATCAATGTGCTGGAAAAGGGATGGCAGGGGCATGAGGGTGCTACAGTCCAGGGGTTAGCCAGCAAGCAGCCCCTGCTCTGTTGCACCCTTGTGCCCCTGCCAGCCCCAGCCACTCTCTACCTATGCATTTCAGTGCATGTAACTAGTCTGCTGTAGGATAGTACTTGTCCTGGACAATATTATCCTACAGTGGAGTTAATTTACTGTGCCCTAATATGGGTGCACATGTAGATGGTGATACTTTACTGCAGAGCTAATTAGTCAGCATCAGAGTAAAGTGCATGTGTAGATGCACCCAGGATCATAAAACTTCAACAGGAGTTGAATCCCTAGGCCTTCAGCATTGCAGCATTGTAACCATTTGAGCTATAGGGTTAGAGCAGTAGGTAATTATAGAAGAGGGCTGTTTTTCAGGGTGTTTCCCAGGTGTTGCTCCCAAAGTGAGAAACTGGGCTTTCCTGATGTATAGTGTGTGCTGAGGGCAGTTGCTAGCTCATATCTACTACACTTTCTTGCATGTACCACACCCCCAAATATAATACAGACTTTGTTTTTGAAAGACATTAAGAGGGTTTTTTTTTCCAGAGTTGTGGCTGCAGAGAGCAAAGATAGAGCCTAATCTTCAGCTGCTTATCCTCCCTTTCCTGCTTAACTAAAACCCTAGCTGCTGCTGAAGACTGCTCTCCATGGGTAGACTTATGATTTTGAAAAGAGTTAGAGTTGTATAATAGGAGTAGAGAACAGAAGCTTTATAGGACAGTGAAACTGCCCTTAGAAAAGTTAGCTTGATTGGTGGAATGACCATTAAA